AAACATAAGGTTTAGAAGAATTTATTTTATAATATTTTAACTGAAAACTTCGGTACAAAGGTATGGTATTTAAAATAATAACTCTTTAACGTCATAACAATCCTATTTATAATATTATAAATAAAAAAAAAATCAGCTGAATATTATTATTTAAATACACCAAAGTATAATAATAGAACTATTTAATGACTAATATTATAGAAAACTATGAACAACTTGTAACATAAATAGTTATTGTTTTATTTAGCGAAGGATTTAACAATTTACTGTTTCTATGCCAAATTAAATTCACTACCCTTATATTAAAAAAAAAAAAATTAAATACATTTATTCTCTCAGTAAAATGCAATTACTTTTTTATTCAAGTTAAGTTTAAAATAAATCGTTCTGATTCAAATATAATATATATTATTTATTTTTATTAAGTAAAAATATATAAAAGTAAAACTTTATCAAATTAATAATTTACGGGTGCATATACTTATTAGCGGATTAACAACTATAGACTAATTTAATTATAAATGAATAAACTTTAGAATCGGATTTTCAAATAAACTTTGTAATATTATAGTTTAACCAATACCGATCACGATCGCTATAAAGCAAATATTTATATAACGTCAAGTATATTATATCCAGTGCGGATTTAAGGTAATGCGAACTATGCGACTGCATAGAGTAGCAAATTTTTGAATGGTGGTATATTTCTTTTATATATAGCGAAATCGTATTTATTATTTACTTTGTTCTTATATAAAAAAATAATCAAAATTTTTCTTTAATTTTCAATTTAAAATTTTTGAAAGATTTATTTAGATTTTGTTTTCGTTTATTTGTACATGTCAAAGTAATACATATTTAAATAAAAATATTTTTAATGCATTTTAAATAAAAAAATAATTACATGAAATATAGAAAATGTCATTATGTTAGGACATTTTGTAACATTAAAATGATTTATTTAGAATAAGACCGGAAAATTTTTATTTATCATATGGGTGGAAAATTGTTAAATCCACTTTTGATCAAATCTATATTCTATAAACAATTAAATAATCTAAAATAAAGCACAATCGTCGTCGTCATCGACGAGTTCCTAGGAAAAAATAAATAGATATTATTTTACTGAAAATAAACGAATAAAATATTCAAATATTATGTTTAAAATGTTGAAATGGTAAAATAAATTAAAATTTATGCAAGTTTATTACATAAAAAATAAAAAATAAAAAATAAAAAAAATATTTGGCGCCCTCTGAAATGTGCCGCTTTATGCAGCTGCATAGTTCGTAGTGCCTTAAATCCGTCCCTGGTTTTATTCTTCAAACTATTTATAATTAAATTAAATTCTTGTGTTTGTCTCTTTGTAGAATATGATAATAATGTGTATGTTAAGAAACATAATATACACATTATACATAATATGTAAATTTAATATATGTACATATTCTTAACTATTTTATTATTATAATTATTGTTATTAATCAATATAATATCGTGTAATAAAATATATGACAGAAGTTTAAATTGTAAGGCGCTTTAGATGCAGGTTCTCATAGTTTTGAATTTTGTATTTTTTGTATTTTTTTTTTGAAAAATATTGATTTTAAAAATAAATAAAGTTTAGTGTTCTCTAACGGGATTTAGAAGACTTTTACGATTTAATATTTATATTTTTATACACAAACAAATTAGGTTTATTTGTACATACAGTTTTTTAATTTCTTACATATTAGTAAATTTTTTAACAATGAAAAAAGTAACTTTAGGAACCCTCAAAAATACACTTAGTTTATTTAAATCATTAAAAATAATAACTTTTTTTTACATTGTATTTTATATCTTTCGTATACAACAAACATTACAGTTTAACCATCACAATACTCAATACAAGGTAATTGAATTGAATAATATAATTCATATTTTACAAGCTCAAGTGTAGGAGAACGTTTAAAATTGGATATATTCAATGAGAGCAGTATATTCAAGTGATAATTGGCCCATTATGGTAGAATATAGAAATCAAATACAAAAATACTCCAATGTTAAACCAAAACAAAAAGCGAATGTTAAAATAATATTATTTTATTATTTATTTATTTTTTTTTTTATGATCATAATTTATACGTATTTTACTTAAAAATTCAATAAGCTAAAGACCATGCGTATAAAACCTAAAAATATAAAAAAAAAAAAAATTACTAGTTATAAAACTACTAAATAATAATACACACACAAAAGAAAAAATGGTAAGCCATTTTAGGAATGGCTGAAATTCGTTAATATCATTCATTGTATTTGTCATTTGTCTATACAGCCAGCATTATTTTTAATAAGCATAATAATTAACCATTTATGAATTTAAAACTAAGTAATTAATAAAATGTATCGAATATATAAGTATCACAAATAATTCATTATGTATTTTTATTCCTTGTCAATTAACTATATGATATACACACACACACACACACACATATATATATATATATATATATATATATGGGTATAATTGTTAAAAACTTTGATTCAATGTTGTAAATGTAGTGTTTTTTTTTCCAAATGTGAAATGTATATTTTACGTAAACGGAATTATAACGATTAAATGTATGTCAAACGACAGATAATATTGTGAGTGAATTATTTTTTGGATACAGTTTATATATCTAAGTTTTATTTAATATTTATGTGATGTGCTTATAAGACAAGTCGTTATCGAATGTTTTGCATTTATTTTTGTGATTGCTTGTCAACGTGTTAGACGTTATTGATGCATGAACAATTTTCAGAAGTTATAAAGATAATGAATATAAACTGTGTAGGGGGCCATAAATGTGTAGGGCCAAATGCCATTTGCCCACAGATGCTTTCAATGTTTTCAGTTTGTTTGTATTTTTGTATGTTTTCTCAAATGTTCACCCAATTGTTTTGTCACCCGTGTAATTGATGGCGTCTTTAGTTGCCATTTCTGGTATTGAAATACCAGTGAAGTATGGAGTAACTCGCCAGCTGCTTTTTTCATTTTATTTTATTGTATGTCGCTTAGACAAAATTCATTTTGTTCAATAACCGTTTTAGAATTATTATGAAAAATAATTTAAGTAATAAAATTCTAAAACGAATTTCCAAGAGAAAAATAACAAACATAAAACAACTTTTCTCGAAAGTATTGACATCCACGAGAATATTTTTTCTATTCAAAATATTAATTAAATTTGTTTTTTTAATTTATGCAGTTTATAAAGTTGATTCAAAACTTTTTGTAATATTGAACTATTTTATTGTAGTAAGAAGCATCAAATTAGAAAAATGATCCAAGTTTAATGTATTTAATTATATTTATTTTATTTTATTAATGTAGGTTAACAATGTTAAAATGAACAATGTTGTACAAAATGTATTTATCAAAAATATCTTTGTCATTAGTATTCTAGAATTAGAATATTGGGCTATATTGATTGTTGTAAGTAAACATCAAGCTTATAAGTTATTAGCATCAAGTAAACTATTGTTGTAATATTAAAATTCCACTTGCATATACGACACGTCATGCACATAAAATAATATGACGTTGTAATATTACAACTGTGGTTATTATTATTATACTGTAGAATATTATTTTCGATTCATTGTTAACTTATCATCTAAAAAATATTTAATTAAAATAAATAAATACACTAATGCGAAATATTGATATCACTTTTAAATTTTAATATGAAGAACGTGTCCTTCATCAGTTAAGTTTGTAAATTGGCTGTAATGCAACAATCACCGATTATTGTACTTAAACTTACCTGTTATTAATAATAATTACAATAAAAGGAAAAATAAAAACATAAAATATATTTATTAAAATATGTCATCGACGAATATTATATTATTACAACAGACAACAGCGACGACAGAAATGTTTATTTCTTAAAACATTTTATGGCATGTTGTTAATGTATTATTAACATTAAACGATTTCAGAGTTCGTAAAATGATTATGACGCATAGAAATAATAAAGTATGTAGCCTTAAATATATTTGTAAACGACGATCAGCCCGTGGCAGCCACTGCTGACTGATGGCCGGAGTTAATCACACGACTGTGATGTAATATTAGTCAATTATTCATAAAAAATAATTAACTTTTGACTAAATTTCACTAGTTTTAGCTTGATAATTATTAGCGTGTGAGTACGTGTTAAACGTCATAACCACATAGTTGTGACGAGTTATAAGACAAATTGCATTATATATGATAGAGAAAAAACAAAATTGATATTTAAAATTTTATTTTTTTATATCATATGTTGAATAAATATAACAATATAATATATGGTTTATGCGCATGATATAAATCTAAAAACATTTTCCAATAATCCACTCGTCGTATTCACTCAATCAAAATATGTTTTAACGATCGTTATTAAGTAAAAAATTCACGCAGGTGAATCGTTTCTGAAAGTAAGTTTGTACGCGTGTAGCACACGACGTTTCAAGACAAACGCGCGTATCGGTTTCAACCGCAGTAGGTACACGTATGCTAAATATTTTTATTATTATTTTTTTTTTTTTTTTATTACAAAAATATATTACTATTATTTTTATCATTATTATTATTATTATCGTGGTAAGAAGGGCTGAATAAACACGCGAAAAATGACAATATATAATAATAAAAAATACAACGTCATACCGTCGGTGTGCAGCGTGTTATAGGTAATACGCATTATTCCAGTTTAATAACGGCTATATGAATTCGGTCCATTCGGATGAAAAAAAAAAAAAAAAAATGAATGGATGTAAAATTAAAAACGAAATCGTAGATACGGGCTTTCGGCGGGCGGCGAACGTGTCACATAATAACAATAATAATAAAAAACAATAATACGAGTCGTAAAATCTCGTGCGCGTTGGCCTACGGTAATATTTTATTGCGGTGTTAGCGATCACTGTACGACGGCCGCGCCAAAGTTGCCCAAGCACCGGAGAGGCGGCCGCCGACGCGCACGGTAGCGCAGTAGTTCCGGATTACCCTCCAAGCGCGCCGCCAACCCGCGTAGTCCTGTGACCGCGTCAACTGTTCGCGCCGACGGACGACGACGAGATATTTCGCGCGATTTCCATATCCGTTTGCCATTCGAATAAAATTCCTCCGTCGTCTATCGTTACTATTATTTATTTATTTATTTATTTTTTTTGATTTCGTATTTCGCACGGTTTCGGTCGTCCGTCCGGTCACAGTGTAGTTGGTATTTACGTGCCGTTGTGAATAATACGCCGTGTGCGATCCCGCGCGGTGTCCGAGTGCGAGTCGGGTTTTAGCGTTTCACGAAGTCGGATGTGTGTGTGTGTGTGTGTGTGACTTGTTTTTATTTCGTCGGATTGTCGAGTTCGGTTATTTTTCAAAAAGTTTTTGTTCAAACGGATTATAATATTATTGTACTTGACAGATTTTGAATAGGACCGAACAGCCAAATTTACCGATGCCGGTTTCCTGATTGTGGTCAATAGGTAGGTAGGTACCTAGTTATTACGTGGATATTCAATACTATTTATTTTGTAGATATTAGAATAAAACACGAAATGTTGGTATGAAACGAGTTGTTTTTCCTCTGCGTATACAATAATATACATCGATATGACTAATAAATATTATGACTTGTCTATGATGATGCCGAATTAAACTTTTTTTAAACGAGTGATTTATATAGTATATACTATATATATATATATATATATATATAATATATTATATATTGTGTATATTAAGAAAAACATCACTATTATACCTCAGAGTAATTGGTTCTTTTGACTGTTTATAATAGACTAGGTATAATATCTGTTAGTATCCTTCAAAATTGGCCGAAATCGTGCGACGATGACTTGCATACCACGTTTCACGGACCGACGAGTTTATTACTATAATTTCTGAAAAACTTCTGTATGATGCTTACTGAATTTAGTTATAACATGTGTTCGCATTATACACTTCCACTTAATATTATTACGTTTAAAAGTTACCCGCCCGTCTGATATAGAAGAATAATGATACTTATTACTCTATATTTTCCATATTGCATATTTGCGGAGAACAGCTATTTTAATATTTGAAAAATAAGTAATTTACCACATAATAAAAGTTCTATCGTTGTGATTATTTAAAAAAAAATTTAAACTATCAAAAAACTTATTCACCAGATAAGTATTGAACGATAAAAAAAAAAAAAAATGAGAAGCACTGGTGGAGTTCACTCGATGGTAATTGACGTTAGGTGATGGGTTACTTCCGTACTGGATTCCCATGTGTGCGTGTGTGTTTTTTTTATTTTTTATTTTTCGTCCATTGTCCGTGACAACGAATTCGGCTGGTGTAGCTTCTACAGATCGCAATGATCACATGTGTATTATAGTTGGAGTGTAGGCATTTAGTTTAATGGAATAAATATTAAGTTAACTATACGATGTTATGCTAACGTATACTACACGTTCAAAGTTATACGTGCTACACGATTCATTGGTTTTTGTAGATTGAAAGTTAGAATTAAAACGCCACTTATAGTGTGATATTTATATTTATCCTTAATTTGGAATTTGGTTCTTAAAATGCTTTTAGTTTTTTTTTATTCAGACACAGATTGTTTATGATTAAAGTATTAATGTAAAACTATATTTCAAATACTGAACGATATTGCAAAATAACCAAACGGGAGATTAGTTTTTTATTCGTTTTTCTTATTTCTGAACATCATTCCTATTTTAGGCAGCAAAGTGATTCAGACATTTGTATAGAATTCTTTATAGTCTCTATATTGATCGAGAAATAGACTAGTACGCAACTATGTACGAGGTCAGGTACAGTAAATTCTCAATAACTTTTGAAGAAATTGCAAATACTTTTTAGAAATTAAATCCTACTACAGCTATAAAATTAAATTTGTAAACACTTTTATTGGAGATAACAGTAAAACTGTCAAACTGAAGTACAAGTGTTTTAAATTTGTCAATGTTTAATAAAATAAACTTTAATGTACTTATATTCAATTTAATTAAAACAATTTATAAAATATGTATTTGCAAATATTTAAGATTTCATTATGATAATATGCATTTATTTTATGTGATTCGGTTATTTAAAAAAATATATTCTGAATAAATAATTTTTAAACTATTTTTTAATGATGCATCTAATAAAGATTTAAAAAAATTGTTTTTAAAAGATTATGAAATAAGTATTTGGAGATAAATAACAGTATTAAAAAATGTACTAATTTAGTATATTAAAGTAGTTATCTATTTATATCGTATATGTACATTTAATTATAAATTGTTAGTATTGATGAAATATTTATAACATTTAATAATTACGCTTTTTTAAATATTGGTTGGACGTTTAAAAAAGTATTTATCTTTTATACCTAATCGAATTGATACTAATACATCAACAGTATATTATATATTAGAAAAACTACTTAGGTATGTGATATGGCAATATCATCTTAGCATACTTTATAATGCTTAACAAAACAATATAACTACAAAAAAAAAAAAAAAAACAACAACAAAATAATTGCAATATTATATATAATTAATTAACAATATGTTAGTAATATAAATGGTGTAATTAAATACCTAATAAGCTTTTGATTAATTAATTAAATGTTCTTATGTTATGATTATGGTATTTAATTTAAACTGTAATAGTATTTAATGAATTAATAGTATTTGTAATCGAGACATTAATAATAAATAAAGACTTATAATTAATTATAATTACTCAATTAACAAGTATTATTTAGTAATAATAACGAATAATGCATATTGTAATATGCATAGTTAATATAAGAAAAATAATCTCTAACCTTATACGTTAAGTGGAAGTTTTGACGTAACAAATCACTACAATATTATAAAATATTTTTTTAGTTTGATTACCTATAGCTGATATAAAAAAAAACAATAAATAAATTTAACTCAAATGAAGATTTAGAATTGTAAATTTTTATTTTATATTATAATCTCCTGAATACTGTATTTCAAGGTACAATTTTTTGCTGTTTAATTTTATACTTGAGTTTCTATAGGTACACATATAATTAACTATTTTATTTACTATAGAGTAGTAGTCTACACACTACATATAGATAATTTAACAAGTTCGTGTCTAATCTAATACTTTTTGATTTTGAGTCTCAGACATTCTAAAAACTGTAAGTACTTTTCTGGTACACTATTAAAAATAAAAAAAGTCGTAACATATTAAAACTAGTAGATAGGTGATTTAACAGTTTTAAATGAAATATGTCAACATCATGTACTGAAAATAATCGAGTGTCGAGAAATTATTAACGATTCAACTATTCATACGTATCTAAGACAAATTTTATGTTTTTGCGTGACATATATTTGTCATAAAAAATACAATAAAACATGTACAATTTATATTTTTTAAAGTAAATTTATTTAATATTAAAAAATAGTAGATAATAATAATAGGTAAAAGATCAATATTTTGTTTATTTATTTTTTAATATACTCATAAAAATATTATAAATATATAATGATTACAAACAATTCAAAATTAACTATTATATTTATCACATAAAGTTCTAATTATGTTAATAATGATTCATATACACATTGCACTATTATAAAATACTATTTAGTTTTATTTTTTATTTTTTTGTATATTGTTTTCTAAACTATAATTTTTTTTTCAATTTAAGTATAATTTTTTTTGTATACAATTAAATATTATATGAATATTATTTTGAAGTTATAAACACATAAAAAAATGTATACTTTTTCAAAATTAAATTTTTGATACCGATGAATGTCTACACATGTTTATGTTCTTACTAATAATTAAAGGAAACAACAATATACCAAATATATCATTTCTAGTAATATCAGCTAATATTAAAGTTAACTTGAATACTAATGACAAGAAATTCTTAATATACAATATATGTAAATTAATCTTACAAAAATTAGTAAACTCTGAATCATATAAAAACATAGTATTTTCGTGAAGCTTTCTTAAAAATTTATTTTAAATTACATTATAATATTATGTTGTTATTTAAATTACTGATAAGTTTATATGTGTAATATATTATGTTATGTGCAATATGTACCAATATAGATGACTATAAACAAATAAATTAATATCTCTGTTATAAACTTCTAACGATTTTATTTAATTTATTAAATACGTTTTCAGTTTTAAAATTATACTAAATATTATTTTATTTTTTCATAAATACCAAGAAAAAATTGTGTTACTTTCAATTCTATAAATATTAAATGCTCGTTTAATTACTATTGATTATATTTAAATCTTAATATAATTGTATGTTTATATTTTAAGCATAACCGTATCACGTATAATAAATATACCTAAATGTGTGTGGCCAGATTAAATTTTAAGAAATTTGAGACAACAAAATTATAAATTATTTTGTATAATAATAAAAATGTTAATAGCAGATTGTACACCGTACATTGAAATCGTTAGTAAGTTTAAGTCTTTTAATAAGTGGGTAATCATTTTGTGACTTCTCATTAAAATAAAATAGTATTTTAAACGGTATGGTCACTACGTAAAAAATTAGTTAAAATAAAATTAAGACACTACAAAGTATAAAAACGTGCAAAAGTGTTGGTAGATTTAACACTCACATATGACTCGTATTAACAGAAATTAATTACGTACTGATGTATGAACTAATAAGCTATACATTAATATATTGAATATATATTAATATTATCTTTAGTAATTGTAGCTCTTGAAATTCAAAAATCATAACATGTTCCTAACTGTAAATGTAGTCAGAATTTAATTTTTAAATATTGTTAAAATAACTAATACTTACCATTAAATTTTATTCTAAATAAAAACCGATAACTGAATAAGTAAAATAATTATTATAAACACAGTTTTAAATTCCGGGACATTACTATGTAATAGTCTAAAACTCTAAAACCTGACAAATCGGTGTTCCGAGAAACTTTGTCTATGATGCCGGGACATGAGTTCCTACCGGAAACATCCCGAGAAATTCGGGATGAATAGCCAAACGAACCTAGATTAGATTATTATTTATTAACACTAAAAATGTCTTTTTAATTTTTCATCATGCGAGAATATAATTTTGTTTTCATCTTTATTGAGAGTCAGTCATTCATATAATCTATTTTTAAATAATTCATATACTATTTTTTTTTCATTTAACTTCTTTTAATCTTATCAATTATATTATTCTCTTAATTTATTATTCATTATTAATACATAAATATCGAATATATATTTCATATATTGTAAGTACTTAACTGAATAACTTAATAATTTTTTTTTTTTCAGTATTTCAGTGAATATTTAGTTATCAGATACCATTTATTATTATATTTTCTGTGTATATAATATTATAAAGGATATTTTTTTTAATTTTCAACATAATTTTATAGTGTATGTTTATATATTTTTAAATATATTTTAAAATCCTATACTTTTA